TAGAGTTGTTATTCTTGAGGGTTTTAATCTCAATCTTATACTTTTCTGACTACATCAGCTATGTACTAATTCTCCCTGAATTTTTTATCTTAAACCAGGATCCTATTAATATGTTCAGACTCCTTGTTTCCAATAGCCTAAATGAATCTCTGTGTGGAGATTATGAATGTCCCAGCTTTGGCATATACTGATGCACACTAAACATACTCATTTGCCTGTGTTTCATCCTAGTGATTCTATTTATTTACTCAAGTCAGAAAACAGGGTGTCACTCTGGGCATTTCACCATTGTCCCTTTCATAACAAATTTGTCACTAAATTCTGTCTTCCTAGGCACTGGAGTATGTCCATTCTTCCCATTCTCAGTGTTTCAGTCTTTGTTTAGATGCTTACTACTCATCTGGACTATTGTATCATCCTTTTTTTCTGCTTCTGCTCTTTTTGCCTAAATCCATCCATAATACTGCATCCAGCATGATATTCCTATAGCTCACATCTAGTAATGTCTCTCTCCTAATAGAAATACTTTTTATGTCTTCTTTTTATTTATAAAATTAATTATAAAGTCCTTATCATAGAAAAAGTCTGTCATGAGGTGACTTTCTTTCTTCTTTAAACTCCATTTTCTGTTCTTTCTTTCAACTCCCCACCGCCTTGGCTCCAACCAGATTAAATGTTACATAGAGTTTCCATCCATAGTTTTTGCCCAGCTTATTGCCATGCTTTTACACAATCAATTTCATATACCTGAAATCTACCACTCACAGTTATAAGTTGTCCACGTCCAACAAAACTCAGCTGAGGTGTTAGTAACTTTAGGAAGACTTTTCTCTTATTCTCAGGCTGATTTAGGAAATTTTATTTTTTACTCTTTTATCATTATGCTCATAAATCTAGTAATTAATTTATCCTACAAATATTGTTGGGCACCACTTCATGATAAGCACTGTGCCAAAGGCTTCTACTTTCATGGTATGAAATGTCTAGTTGGCACTTGGGTGGAAAAGTATTTAACCATCACACAAATGTATAACTACACTGTGAGGTTGAAACAAAATACTATAAAAACATAAGATAGGAGACCTTGATATTGTCTGGAGAGGGTTAGAGAAAACCTCCCGGAGAGTGGAATATTTGAATTGAGATATAAAGGATGAGTAGAAAGTAAGTGGATGTACGTGTGGAAGCATAGAATACACAGTCTTTCAGGATAAGCAGGAGCAGGAGTGTACGTTGTATTTGAAGAGCTGAAAGGACAGTGTGGCTGGAGCTCAGAAAGCATGTGTAAGATAGAGGGGAATCAAATGAGACTGGAAAATGAGGAAGCGGGCAAATGGTATGTGACCTTGTATTCATTCACTCATTTACTTATTTATTAAGTAATTTATTCAGTAAACCAGGAGCCCCTATGAAGGAATCTACTTATATGCTATACCTACAGTGATGAAAAAACTAACAGGCATGGTTTTGTCTCTCATGAATTTATAATCTAATACAGTTCAAGTTAAGGCTTTTATTTTATTCTATTAATATTGAGAAACTGATGACATATTTCAAGCAGATGAGTGGCAAGATCAGATTTTTATTTTAAAATACTTCTCTAATTTCAATGCAGGGAATGGTTTTATAATGAAACCTAGAGTACATTAGGAGGAAAATTCATTATTTCATTCAAGAGATAATGGTATTTTAGTCTTGGATGGTGACAGTGGAGATAGAGAAGTAGATGGACTCAAGAGCTAATTAAGAGGGAAATTTGACAGGTCTTGATCTTGGGTTTGTAATAGGTAGTATAGGTAAAGAATATGTTCAAAATGCTAGTCTTTAGTTTGTGGAGTAGTCCAGATCTATATGTCATTCTCTGAGATAGGAAATGCAAGAAAAAGACCAGATTTGGAAGGAAAATCTTAAGTTAATTTTGGACTTAGTGAGTTTTAGATATCTTTGTATGTCAAGAGACCCAAGCTTGTATGTCAAGCAGGCTTCTAAAAAATTCTAGGTTAAAGGTATAATTTAGTAATCATCAACATGCTTGAAGATATAGAGAAGAGAGAAGAAGTGGAAGAAAGTTCAGAACAGAATCGTACAAGTGAGAAAAGAAAATTAAATGATTGAGTCTTGAAAGTGATGTCAAGGTGGTAGATGAAAAACAAGTCAGAAGAGAATAGGAGATCAGGTACTATGAGATAAATCAGGAAGTTGTGATACAAGCTAAACCAAAGAGAATGTTTCAGGGAAGAGGAGTGGATCAATTGTTTTAGCAAGATTCAACAATCTAAAGGTAATTTTTCTGAGAGTTGTTTTATGGAAACTGGTAGAGAAGGAAGCCACATTGAAGTGACTTGTGGAATGGCTATGCAGTGAGGAAATGGAGACAGTAACTATAACAGTGTTTGTGAGAAATTTGGATGTAAAGGAAAGGAGAAAAAGAAACACCTGAAAGGCAAAAAAAAAGGCCTTCTAATTTTTATTTTCAAAGATGAGAGATACTGGAGAATATTTGAAAGTCAAGGCAGGTCCTTAAGAAGGAAATATGACGCAAAATTAAGGAACTACAATGCCCAATTGACAGTACAAATACAGGTGAGAAGGGATAAGAATGAATGTAGGGGATGGAAGGTTTTGTTGCCAGTGGAAATGGGGTCCTTTCATGGAGTTGAAAGAAAAGCACTTCCAGGGACCCATGCGTGGGAGGATGAAGTTTAGTGGTAATGTTTACTGGTTTGAAATAAGTGGCTGCCCCCTGGATCCAGGTGTCTCATCTCCACCTGACCTGTTGTGTAAAAAGTCCAGCCTTGTCTCCATCAGGCCCAGAATATGGCCATTGTCCAGAAATTCTGTGCCAGTAGACATGTCCATGGACATTTAACATGTCCATGTTAAAGCTTAGTCCAGTTCAGGCTCTGTATCCATTTGGCTAGCTAAGTCCCTTTTTCAGGTTGTACTTTGGCTAGTGTTGCATTGCTGTAGTGAGGCTCATGCTTGGAGCCTGCACTTGGAGCTTGTGTGGCTGATAGGCCAACATGGCCACTGCAGAGGGAGAACACAAGAATGAATGGAGCAAGTGCATCATGTTAGAGAGAGAGAGAGAGAGAGAGAGAGAGAGAGAGAGAGAGAGGGCAAACTTGCCTCTGTTAAGCTTTGTTTACATTATCTTGGGCTTGGGAAGGACCAGGTCTCTCTCTCTCTTTTTTTTTTTTTTACTATTTTATTTATTTATTTTTATAATCTTTATTATATATTTTCTCCATTACCATTTAGTCCCCATACATCCCCTACCCCCAGCAAGCACTACCTTGTTCAGTCCTCTCTGGCTGGTGTTGGGCCCTCCCCCTAACCAATCTACTTCCCAGATTTTCTGAGGTTCTATGTTCCTTATCCAATCCTTTTCCCAGGCTAGGCTCTGCTCCTTATGGTCACTATCTTATTTCTACTGCAAATGTGCTTATCTTCCACTGAGCCATTTTGGCTTCTAATGGCCATGTGCCCAGTAGAGAAATTTCTCTTTTATTGGTTTATCTTTCCCTTGGTAACCCTGCTAGTGACTGGTAAAGGTTACCAAGGGAAAGATAAACCACTTTGTGATTAGGTCCTGAAGTGGGAGGATACTGCCGTCACTTAGGGAGTCTATGAATGTTGCAAATTCCTAGTGTAGTAGGCTTATTGTCCAATTCAGCTCCCTAGTTTATTAGGCTTAATAATGTCTGATTCCTTTTTCTTCCTTTCTTTATTAATAACTAGCTACCTATGCTAACAGTTTGACATTTTGAGGATGGACAAATTCTATTTTAATGGGAACAAACAAGGAAAAGATGAGAGAATGTGCAAGTGGATTTGCAAGTTTTAACTTGGGGAGTTGAAGAAAATCTCATTGATGTGTTCTCTTTTCTCTGTAAAGTAGTAGTTGATGTCATCTCCCAAGGGAAGAATTTAAAAGCTGAAAAGAATGAAGAAGTTTTAAAAAAAAGGTCTTGGCAAGAGAGGAGAGTTGATCAGGGAAGATTTGTAGGTTGGATGGGAAACACTGAGGGCCCGTTTAAAGTTGGTAACTATAAGTTCATAGTAAAATCAACCTTTCTGTTGTTTTAGGCTTATTTCAAGAGCACTGGAATAGTCAAGTGCAGGTCTTAAAAAGTAAATGGTTATATTCAAATAGAATTGGGATTTTAGCAAATGATGGATTTAATCAATTTTATAGACTATTCTCTTCTAGAATACCATGAATTGGGGAAGGGATAAAACAAAATTATCCATCTTGACTTGTATTGGTTTATGGAAGTAGGTAAGAACCTAAATAGAGGTCCCCCCAAAATGCCAACAGTTATCTCAAAATACCTATTAAAAAATTTAAAACAACACCCATTAAAGAAACTTCTTACTGACCATAGGTTAGATGCCCCCTTTATCATATATGAGATTATCATAAAAACTAGGTGTGTTTTTAGCCTATCTCCTTTATACTACTAACACTGTTTTTCTTACATTGCTACCATATTGACCTAACTTGTTACAAATTTTTAAGGTTGTGAGGTTACTCCTTATTATCCTCTTATTAATCTAGTTTTTTCAATGATTCATTTTTCTTCATAGACCATAGCATTATTCTTCAAGTTTCACTACTGTACCAAAAGGAAAAAGAAAAAAAAATATTTTTGGAAGGAAGTGACATACCTGTTTTCCTATATTCAGATCTCTCAAAAGGGTACACACTGTCTTCATCTTTCTCAAGCTACTCACTCTTTCTCGAAGGTATATGGTGTATTTCCAACACAATATATGTGGATGTGCAGATAACATTTTGAATATTAAACATTCCTGATTATTGCACTAAAAATAAAATTATTGACTGGAATTTGCCTTATTTGGAAAGTCTCCTGTATATAATTAGTTTACTAAATTGTAAGTGAGATGGATACTTTTGAAGTCAATTAAAAAAATTACCTCTTTTATATGCCTGTACAAATAGCTCAAAGAAGTCTTTTCAGCTGAAGAGTCATTCTATGGCTTCACCCAGCAACTGCTCCACTGCTCCAGTCTCTGAATTTCTCCTCATCTGCTTCCCTAACTACCAGAGTTGGCAGCACTGGCTGTCCCTGCCCCTCAGCCTCCTCTTCCTTCTGGCCATGGGGGCCAACGCCACCCTCCTGATCACCATCCGGCTGGAAGCGTCTCTGCACGAGCCCATGTACTACCTGCTCAGCCTCCTCTCCCTGCTGGACATCGTGCTCTGCCTCACCGTCATCCCCAAGGTCCTGGCCATCTTCTGGTTTGACCTCAGGTCCATCAGCTTCTCTGCTTGCTTCCTCCAGATGTTCATCATGAACAGTTTCCTCCCCATGGAGTCATGCACATTCATGGTCATGGCCTATGATCGCTATGTGGCCATCTGCCACCCACTACGATACTCATCTATCATCACTAACCAATTTGTGGCCAAGGCTAGTATCTTCATTGTCACAAGAAATGCCCTTCTCACTGCACCCATTCCTATTCTCACCGCCCAGCTCCATTATCATGGAAAAAATGTCATTGAGAACTGCATCTGTGCCAACCTGTCTGTGTCTATGCTCTCCTGTGACAATTTCACCCTGAACAGAATCTACCAGTTGGTGGCTGGTTGGACCTTACTGGGCTCAGATTTCATTCTCATCTTCCTCTCCTACACCTTCATCCTAAAAGCTGTGCTTAGATTCAAGGCTGAGGGGGCTGCAGTCAAAGCCCTGAGCACATGTGGCTCCCACTTCATCCTCATCCTGTTCTTCAGCACCATCCTGCTGGTTGTGGTGTTGACTAATGTGGCCAGGAAGAAGGTCCCCATGGACATCCTCATCCTACTCAATGTCCTTCATCACCTCATTCCCCCTGCCTTGAACCCTATTGTATATGGGGTTCGGACCAAAGAGATAAAACAAGGAATTCAGAAATTGCTGCATAGAGGGACGTGAATATGTAGAAAAGATCTCTAATACCTTTCCCCCTTCCTTCTCAGTGGTTTTTGCCTAGGCAGCAAGGTAGAGGAATGCCTGTGAGTGAGTATTTATTACACACATGGAGGCTCACTTCACCACTGATCCAGATACTTTCCTTTATTTTCTTTGCCTGGTTCAAATGAAGGTAGGCAAGAGAGAGAAACTCATATTTCTTGAGTAACTGTTTTGAGCCTAGGCAATTATATTTAAGTAATTTAATCTTTACAATATCTCTTCATGTATAATTAATTACATTTAACATAGTGAAGAAAATGTTTTTAAGAGAGGTGACCAACAAATATCACATATCTGGAAAGCAATAAAGATCAAAATCCAGGCTATAGAGTCTAGGCACTTCCTGCAGAAATGCTCCTTCAAGTACAGTTGAAGCTGGAGACCAGGCTTCCACCCTACTCTCCTTTGGCCTGTGATTATTCTTCTGGCTGTCCATATGTATTTCCTGCCTGTATCTGCTTCTTTGAGAGCCAGGATGTTCTTAGAGAAAACAGAGTCCTACCCAACAAAGCATCTGCAGGATCACAGGAGAAGAGTGTTTATAGTAATATAAAGCAATGTCAGCTTTCTATTCTATCCTGTATAATCTTGTCATCTTCAGGGAGTCTTGAAAATGAGGATACACGTGGAGAGAGAGGATACCATTGGGGTGGGAAATGGAGAAACTGACCAGAAGAGTGGGCTGGTCATTTCCCCTTTATGTTTGAGCTACATGTACAGTGAACTGGAAATCAAGTCCATTTTATGTTGATTCTGCCCCAGAACTCTAGTTGAAGGTGAAGACATGGCACAGTGTCAGGTTTATGGACAACAGTGGGCAAGTCGGGAGAAAAGATATTGCACCATTATTTTTAGAAAATGTAATGTAAGCAATTGGTTAAAAGGGTATTGGAGACTTGAAATGATAAAAGGGGATGAAGTGACACAGAAACAGTACATGCAGGAAGAACCTTACACTTGGGAAGAGGTTGGTCAGTTAGAACATAGAACCGATTGAACTAACTGGGCTGTACTACTTTGAGGATGAGTTCTGGCTGTAACTGGTACTAATGTCACAGGAACTCAGAGAAGGCCCCCTTAGAGTTAAGACTTCTGAGGAAAGGACCCTATCCTGCTGCTGTTGGTACTTCTGAAGGAGTTCAATGAGGCTGATTTGATCTTGGGAGTTCTAAAACTGAAGCCCAGACCCAAACCCAACCCCAAACCCTTTCAACTAACCATGCAACCAACCAACCAACAAATCCCAGACACCAGAAATCTACCCCACTGCCAACATGATGAGACACTGCTAAGGGACACTGACAAGACAGGGACAGACAGGAAAGAAAAAAATATCCTCTCCCGTGTTTCAACCTTCCAGGCTTTTTCTGCTGCTGTGGGTGCAAACTAAGAGGGAGTCAGCTGACAAAGAGTCCTAGATATGAGCCTGAGTGTCACAAAGCAGAGTTTGAATGGGAGCGTTTAGGGCTGAGAGACAGGAGTTGACCGCACAGCTCTTGGTTGAGTCTGAAAGCCTGTGGTGACATGCGGGACAGCTGTTAACAGCGCATTGCAGAGCACAGGGCCTCTCAGGGGACTGGAAACAGTCAAGTCCTCTAGTGCAAGCACATGAAGAGACATGATGTAATTTCACAGGAGCAGCTTTCATAACAATGAAAGAATTTAACCTTAAGTTTGCAGAGGAATAGAGATTGACTTCCCCACACTAGCAATTAGAGCAATGGCAACTCACTGCTGGTGTGGGCTCTAGGTTCTCCAAAGCCACACTCAATAACAGCAGGAAAGAAATGACACCCATTTGCCTATAAGAAGGAGCTCTTAATACTCTTCTGCTCTTGGACTTTGCTCTCATTTCTTCAAGCCAGAGTTCCATGCGTGTCTTGGTATTTGTCATTTTTTTTTGTTTGGTAAAGAAGAGAATTATCTAGTAGGTCCTCTCTCCATCTCTTGGATGCCGGAAGAGTTTCATCCACTACCATGTTCTCATTGTTCTCAGAGGATAGAATGGCCATTTTAAACACTGATTGCTTAAAATGATATTAATATATCAGTGTCCTCATATGGTGATAATAATGATAGTAACCATAATAATAACCATAATAATATAATTATGGTTATAATAATTAATAACCATAATAAAATAAAAATCAAATTTTCTGAGCACTTGCAAACTATCAGTGTCTATACATGATAATTTTTAATTTTCATAAAAGCTTTCTGTGGGTGATTATAAAAATGAGTTTTTAAAAATATCTAGCAGAAAAGATAGAATTTATAGACACATGATACATATGGTCAGGTGCTGGTTTCGAACATTTTGTGTACTCTCTTGGTCGCTCTAGGAGTGCTTTCTCTAACTCTGCTGTGCTTCACCCAGGTGCACACCCGGAAGGGACTCAAAGAGGAGTCTGTTAGCTGGGAAAAATCTAGATCTTAATTTATGAGCTGGGCTTCTCTAGTTTAATGCAAATAGCCAACATAATTATGAGAAGTTTACTCAAACTGAGAATACACAGGAATATAAACTATCAACTTGCAGGGATTCGTAAAAGATGTAGAGACAAACAGACCAGTGTCAGTTCTCATAGTAACTAGCAAAACTGTGGCCCATCAAAAGGCTCAGTAAACACCCCCTTACTTAAGACATTGAAGTGGCTAAGTGAACACTTGACAAATAGTGTTTGCAATGGTTCTCTAGTTCCCCACTGGTAGAGTCCTTAATATAAGGAACAGACAAGCCACATACTTAAATTTGGAGCTCTGCTCTGGTCCTAAGGAGAGAGGTTAAGAGAATCTCTGTTTCTCACAAAATGGTCAAGCCCAAGGCAGGTGGTTCAAGAAACTGACCACAGTGGTCCTAAGACAGGTTTAGGGGGTAAAGGTGATGAAGGAACAAGATTACTCAAAGAGCCAGCTATTGAAAGGCAAACACAACTTTGCTGTGAAGTTCCCATAACATTAAAAAATGAGCTCAGTAGGAATCTTTGAACACTCTTGTGAGTGGATAGAATGAATTGTCATAAATTATAGGCATTTTAAATTGGTGGGGTATAAGTGCTACACATTTTCAGTTATAAGGTAAGTAACTCCTGGGATGTAATTTACAATATCATGACTAGAGTTTCCACTGCTGTCTGGTATATTTGAAAGCTGAGTAAATTCTAAAAGTTCTTATCACAAGGAAAAAGCTATTTTTTCTTTTTCTTTTTTGTATCTTTTTCTTTTTTGTATATTAATTAAACTAGTTGTGGTAACCATTTAACAATAAATGCAAGTCATTATGCTGTACACCTTAAATTTATACAGTGCTGTAATAAGTTACATCTCAATAAAACTGAAAAAAAGAAAGAAATTGATGGGACACAGATGTTTTGTCAGTTTAAGAAAGAAAATATGTAATGGGTCACTTTGCTAATACAGGCAGACTATATCCAACTGCACTGGAAGTGCATGTATTAGGAGCATGAGGAGGGGGAGGGGAGTAGCTTACCAATGCTGGTTTGCAGGTTAGTCACATTTGCATGAGTAATTTGCAATGAACACAGGGCCTTTGAGAAAGGGTATCTGAAACCAGTCTATGCTGCTATTCAGGAACAGAACAGATTTAAATCAAGGCCCAGAGGCAAGAGAGCTCAACAAGTGCTCTGGAATTAAATATCTGGAGGAAAAAGGGAGTCTGTCTTAGGGACAATTGCTCAAAACAGAGACCTAAATATTGTTGAGTGAACAAAACTGAGTTTTCTACATATCATAAAATAGAATTGGGGAACCTCAGAACATTGACATACTGGAACTGTTATGGTTTAGGATGTATTCTAAGCATATGGGTATTAGACACTTGGTGAGCGTGGGACATCAAGGCTGTGCAGACGTGGAGTCGAAACAGCAGAGCTTTCCTGCCAGGTGTAACAGCCTTATGCAGGAAAGTCAACATTGCCCTCGTGTGGCCACCAGTGGAAATAACAATATTGGAGTGAATTGTTTTCAACTCCTGCTTTTCTTTGCAAGAACTGACAACTCGGTACTGAGAAAACTGAGACCTCCAACACTTAGGGGAAAGGTTAGTGGGTAGCTTGAAGAAGAACATACTGTATTTCCTGCACATGAGGCACAAGGGAGTTTGAATGATTAATTAAAAAAATAAAAGGGATATAACAATTGATACTCGGATTTTCATTTCTTCAGTGACATTTGAGTCAACATTATCAATGATATGAGTCAAGCATTTGTAAATGTAGAATGCATCTTGGTATTTAATACGATGTTGCATTAGCATTATTTGGCCAAGGACTCATGTAGCAATAACATTTATTTATTAATTTTTACCTACTCAACCAAAAATAAGCTATTGAGTGGTTTTGCGTGTGTGTGTGTGTGTGTGTGTGTGTGTGTGTGAACATAGTAGTGATTAGCATAGATAGTTACTAAGAGGTAAACTACTTTCAGAGAGACCACAGTCAAAATAGCCCATGAAGGATCATTATCCCCAATTTTTCAGATTAGGCAACCCAGCAAAAAGGTAAATTACTAATGGTCATTCAAATAATAGGGACTAGAGTCAAGAGTGAGACACGAGACATGTTTGCTATCTAAATCCATTTTTCTTATTTGATTGTTTGGGGATTGAGCTACATTTTTAGATTTCAGCTGGGTAGCTCTGCAGTTTTCTGAAGTTTTAAATACTACAGATTATAGATAGTGAAGGCGGTGCACACAAAAACCCAAAGTGAATTAGATATTGCAAATAAAGTTAGTTACTACAACAAAGAGCATAGTAAGTTAACACAATAAAAGTTTACTTCTCATCCATATCCCATTCTAATGCAAGGGAGCTTTGCTTCATGTCAACGTTTGGGGGCTGATGCTTCTTCCATATGTGGATCTGTGCTTAGGGATCTCCAATGGTGCTTCTGAATCTGGCTGTCATCCAAGCAAAGGGAGAGAATGTGTAGAATGTTTTA